AGAGAGAGAGAGAGAGAGAGAGAGAGAGAGAGGGGAACGCTGTGTGAGTCAGCACGTAACAACAGGACGACATCTTAGCATCACTGTCGTCACAAGTATAGAAGAGGTGTTTACCCATGTGTTCGGCTTGATGCAACTTCAGGTTATAATGACGCTGGAATGTCTTATCACATATGGCACACTTGTATATGCTCTGTAATGAAAGAAATCCCACTTCAGATTGCTTGCATATCTAACTCCACGCTGTTCCAACATCGATAATTAAACAGCAACCACAGAAAATCCGCACCCCGCTAGCTATACAACTTACTTAGCCTGAGAAGGCACAGACTTCGATCAACATTTCTTGTGTCGACCGTGAGATGAAACATGAGATGAAACATGAGTCTCAGAGAACACAACTCTACGCAATAAATTACTACATGTATCGTACAAGCAGAGTGAGAGCTTACTCTAGGATAACTAGAGAGGCTGAGGCTTCCATATAGCTCCAATTATTATTATATAGCTCCATCCGGAATGACAGAGCATATACTCACAGCAGGCGCTGACAGACTATCCACCATACTGTGGCGAGGATATGCAGTACTGTTCGGTGGCTCTGGGTAGCCAAGCTTTCTCCATAGAGCCGGCAGCAGGCTGGGTGCTGCCCCCTTCTGGAGCTTCTTCACACCTTTATGAAGTTTCTGGACATCGAGGTCAGACGAAATAGAAAAACATTAATATATGCGTATTTAAAAAGCGATGAAAAGGTGTATGTGTACAGTGGTCGTCACAATCACAGACTTCGTAGCAATCCTGTACACACTGGCTCGCCGCAGTTCAGAAACGACAAAAAAAAAACACATTGGTGCTGGGAATAGTGCCACTAAACCCACAAGTCTAGTTCGTGTGCAAATATCATCAACCGTGCTCCCCAGTGACCTCAACTATTTACACTATCTATCACGCTTTGTACACGTTTATAATTTACAGCACAAAACTACGTTTGCGATTAGATACCAACAAACACATTGCACCGCCGCGCCGCCTCGATAGTTAACGCTGGCTATTACGGCTGCATCAATGGTGCTATTATGCTCATCCTAACACAATTAAGATGCAACTGCCAACCTCACCTCGTATAATAACCTTAAACTCTAACCCTAATCCTAAAACAATGGGCAAACACCAGCGCAGCTGCCACTGCTTCTGCTCGACACAGGTTTTAATTACGTTCAACCTTTATCTCTGAGACATAAATGCACCCTGCTGTTCGCATCTCAGCGCTAACGATAGTAGGTTATCGTTAGCAAAGGATCCATCCACCAACGTCAAGGATAAGAGACAATTCGATTATCGCGAGCAAATTTGCGACGTACATGTGTTTTGGAATGTGTCCCGAGATGTTCGGCTAGATGATCCTTGCGGAAGAATCGCTTCCCGCACACCTTGCACTCGTACGGTTTGAAGCCCGTGTGCCGCATACGGTGGCGCCGCATATTGGCAGCCTGCGAAAACCTGCGGAAGATCGAACGTGCTCTGAATAGTGCTACGGAGGAGGGAGAGCGTGATCTTGGGGGATTCTACTACTCACCCAATCTCACACAACTCGTCTACTCACCACACACCTCGCACCCACGGAACACCTAGCATCGTCTCCACTCATGGATAACTGAACTACAACCCACACTTCCCCTATACACCTTACACATTTCCTATACACCAGGGGCCCGTTGTCAGAAACAAAATTAGTCTTAACATTAGTCTTGACATTAACTTTTTCTCTTAGACCATTGACAGAAACGCTGCGAAGTTACGAGAATGAAAAATCGTAGCAGATTTCCTCATAACAATACAAAACAAAGTGATGTCGACAGTCTAGGAGAAAATGTTAATGTTAAGACTAATGTTAAGACTAATTTTGTTTCTGACAACAGACCCCAGTCATATACCGTATACACCACATCTCCTTTCATAATTCATACAGGAGAACTGAAATTTTTGTCAAGGACTTTTCAATGACATTTTATCAAAAATTCAAGGACATTTTATCAGACATTTTATCGGAATTCATACACAGAACAAAACATACCGGGATTAATTTAATGACCCCATTCTTAATCACTGCATGTCACCTCTAAAACTTAGCTGGATCACATTAATAAACCCTTCTAATTTTTTAAACACTGTCACCTCTACAACATACCTTGATTTACTGACTGATTTTACTGACTTACTGTAATTTGTGATCATCATTTAACTGTCTATCGTGTCTATAGCTTTTTAAGCTCATTTAACGCCATTTTTATTGAGGTTTGCACATTATTGTATTGATGGTACAAAATTTCTTTCTATTACATGCAATGATTCT